CAAAGGTGGCAATGCTGAAGGATCTGGCAATTGGAAGGACTCTGGTGCCCCGGCGTCCTCTCCCCAAGCCATCACCGATCTATCGAGTGGGCTCGCAGCATTCCTCAAGATGAGTCAAGACGGTACCAACAAACAGGACAAGTCCATCCCTAATCTTGAAGCCCTTCTCAGTGGCACCCCCTACCTTAGGGGGATGTGCCATGACCTCCATCCCGAAGACTCACTAGTCAAGGAGGTTCACTCGAACTGTCTGAGCAACAGTCACGCTGATAAGATCAGACACGTTCTGGCGCTCCCGATCAAGCGCTTCTTCCGGCCCAACGAGGATCCCGGTATGATGAGCAATGTCTTCAAAGCTCTATTAAGATGGTCGACTACCGTTGTTCTGATCGGAAATTGCAAGGCCAACTCTGACAGTGAGTGTGACACAGTGCAGATGGGACCACTTCTCACCCATCTGCTAAATTGTGCTCAGGCCACCTCAAGGAAGTCCTTCGGCCCTAATGGTCGAGCCTCGGGTCCTTATGGCGCCATCGAGTACCACAATCTCATCCAAGAGAGGGTTGTCGACCTTTTGAGGCAAGGAAAGTCCTTGCCCAGAGCAATGTTGAAGATGGCCAAATACCATGACGATCTCAGCATTCGTGCCAGTGAAGCGGCCGCTGAAGCCAGGAGTAAGTCGCAGAGTAGCTTCAGAAGCAACCCATCCGCTGAGACCAAACGCCGTGGTCAGAAGCAACACCGTAAGGGCGGAGACCGGCGTGAACCACCCAATAAGAAGCCTCGTGGCGGTGAGAAAGGTGCCAATTCTGAGGCCACGTCCTCGACCAAGGCTAAAGATCACAAGTAACGATAATCAGAGCGACCATTAATTCGTGTGTAGCAAGTCCTACGCTGCGATGGGACCATGATCTTCCCTCGCCTCTTCGCTCGCTTGGTTATTTCCCTTTCTGCCTTTTCTGACCTGTCCCTGACTCCCAGTATGGTAGTATTTACGTGTCGTTGAGATGGCTTTGCGTTGTCTAGTCACGGCATCAAAGGCTAGATAGTAAACTCGAACTCACTTCATGGATGTGATTCAGAGAGGGTGAGCCGCGAGAGCGGAAAGCGCCTTCCAAGTTGCATCCTCTGGAGCAGAGTACGAAGATCACTGAATAAAACGATCTCGGAAGAAATCCCCGCCGTATCTCGGTAAAGCAACGTCACTCATCGAGTCATCAAATCGAACTCACCGAGTGAGAAAAGCCCCATCTCCCACAAGTGTGACTCAGCGAGAGTGTACTGCG